CCCCCCCCCGCCCCCCGTCTTCAAAGAGCCGCTCCTTTCCCTGCAGGCGCCGGGGCGCCCTCTCCTTCGCTTTCCTTTCTCAATCAGATCACCGGAAAGGAAGGGAGACGGGGGGGGGGAGGATCTCGGGGAGGGGGGAGGTAACGCACCACGACAGTGCTGGGGAGCGGGGGGGGGGGTACGGGGTTTGCCTCTGCGGAACAGCGAGGGGCTTTGTTGTCAGCAGTTGTTTCCTGACCATTTGACCCGTCAGCTGCTGGGGAAGTGCTGCTGTTGACCTGTGGTTGAACTGTTAAGGCGATTTTGCTGATTCCCCCCCCTTTGTGTTTTTGTTTTTTCTCTTCTCCGGTGGTGGTACGGGGGGAGGGGGGCGTTGGCACCTCCGGGGGAGCCCAGTCCCGCCCAGCTTCCCAAAGCGCTTTCGGAGCAAGTGCCTGGAAGGGGCTGGTCCGAGGCCCCATGCCCGGTTCTCCTGCCCTGGGCTCAGCGGCGTGGACGCGGAGCAAAGCGCGCGCTCGCGCGGGGCCTCTGGAGCCCGGCCCCGGCCCAGGGTGGGCGCCTGCGCTATTGTTAGGGCCTGCGGCCTTGGCGGCCTGGGGCTGGCGTTGGGGAGGGCGGGGGGGGGACCGGGAGACAGATTCCCCCAGGAGGATTCGGGGTGCAGGTGCCAGCCTCGAGTCCCGCCCGGTTTGGTGTCCAAGCGCACGCCTTCCTCAATGGACCCCGCAATCTAGGTCCTCTGGGCTGGGGCCGACTCCAGCTCCACGTGGAGTCGGGGGTTTGTTGTGTTTTCTTTTTCTTCCTGGAAGACATCTCTGCAGCGGTAGCTCCGTGGCCTTGGCCCTCCTGTTTCCTTCCGGGGACGCAGATACTGTGGCCCTTTGCCCGGGCCGGGAGGGAGGTACCCTTGTAAGATTTAACCTCCGGGCCCTGGGCGCCGCCTTGTTACTCTTCTGTTCCCCCAAAACACGGTGCTGAGCCGGTGGGCTCAGGATAAAATGACAGTGCCCGGATGGCGAGGTGCGTGGCCTTAAGAAGCATTTCTTCTCTGGACTCCTGTGTATCCCTCTGTCTGTCCAATTTTGGCAGGGAAGGCCATCCCCTGGCCCTCAAAAGGACCCCATTCTCTGAGGAGGAGCGTGCCTGGGTCATTGGCCCGGGAGGCTTCGCATCTGTCTGCGAGAATAGTCCCTTCTCCCCCAGCTTCACCCAGCCCCAAGTTAGTTCAGCCGCCCATGGGAGCCCGCGCCTAGAAATCCAAGTGGGGGAATTATCCCGCTTCCTGAGTAGCAGTGGGCGAGCGTCTGCCTATTTTATTCAAGGCTTAGCTGCGTGGATCCTGTACTGAGCAGAGGCCGGCCTTAAGGCCCAGTTCCTTTGCTTCCCTTTGCTCACCAGTGCAAGACATCCCTAGAGGGGCAAAAGAAACAGTGCCTGCTGCCACACCCTGCGGAAGGTGCCATCAGGGGGAGGGACACAGGGGCTTCCGGGCTCCAGAGACACGGGGCTTACTTACTGTAAGTGGGCACGCCAGCGGGTTCGGAGATGGCTTTGTGCGCGGGTGGGGATCCTGGCATAGGGATCTAAAGGAGAGAATGCTGAGAAGGAAAGAAAGAAAAAGGCCCTTAGAGTCTCTCTACTGAAATGTTGGAATTGATTAAGGGTTGAATAGCTCCGTTCCCTCTGGAGTTATAGTTTCCAGCTTGCAAACAGGACCCTCCTGTGTGTCACCTGATGTGTGCAGGTGGCTGGGCAGTGGAGGAAAGAACGTTGGGCAAATAGAGTGGGGGTAAGGGGGATAGAAGATGGTAATATTTTCAGAAGTGATGTCATTCTTTCCAGCCAAGGCTTATCTAATTTTCTAATTAATTGCACTTAAAAATGTAGGTTTTCTATTTCTGTCTCTTCAAAGGGAGACTGGTTACTCATTTGCAGGTGGTTAGTAACTGTTTCCACAAGTGAGAATTCATAAAGATAGGAATAAACTTTGTTGAACATCAATAAAACTTATACCCTGTACATTTCGTAAGACCCAAGTCTTACAAAAGGCACTAAAATCATGCAGCGTTTTCATTTTATTAGATTTCAAGCTTGGGTGATTTTTCCTGGGGCTTGAACTCAGGGCCTGGGCACTGTCCCTGAGCCTCTTTGTGCTCAAGGCTAGCCGGCTCTACTACTTGAGCCACAGCACCACTTCTGGCCTTTTCTGTTTATGTAGTACTGAGGAATCGAACCCAGGGCTTCATGCATGCTAGGCAAGCATTGTACCACAAAGCCACATTCCCTGCCCAAACTTGGATGAATTTTAGAAAAGTCTTTGACTTAAAATCTTACAGTTTTAGAGACAATTTTGACATTTAAGTTCTTTAATTTTATACAGTATACTTCTTTCAAATTCCTTTCTCCCCTTCATTTTCCAATTAGAGTTTCTCAATTTATCTGTTATCATAAAAGAGAATTTTCTTGCATTAATAAAAGTCATTTCTTGTATCCCCCAATAGCAAATTAATTTCTTACACAAAACGATTTCAGCTGGTCATGGTTGTGTACAACTATATCCCAACATTTAGGCGGATGGAACATTTGAGGCCACGTGGGACTTCATAACAGTGGCTCTCTTCTGTAATCCTAGCCACTCAGGATGTTGAGATCACAGGATCATGGTTTAAAGGCAGTCCAGGCAGAAAAGTCTGTGAGACTCTTATCTCCAGTTAACCACAAAACAAGCTGGAAGTAGAGCTGTGTCTCCAGTGGTAAAGCACTAACGGTGAGCAAAACAAACAGAACCTCAAGGACAATGCCCAGGCTCTGAGTTAAAGCCCCAGGACTGGCACACACACACATACATAAAGGATTTTAGGTGTGTATGTATGTGTGTGTGTGTGTATACACACAAACTCAAATTTAAAAAAAAGTTGTTTCCTTCCTGTGGAGAATTTGACTCCTGACCTTTGTGAGTTTATTCCAGTCATGATTGCAAAACTATCCTAGCTATTTTGAGCAATTTGAATGATGATCTAGATAGATCAGTTACTTTCTCCACTCTCTAGTCCCTGGGCCTATCGATATAAGGGATTTGGCCAGATGCTGGTGGTGGCTCACACTTGTAATCCTAGCTGCTGAAGAAGCTGAGATCTGAGGATCTATTTCATTTTGAAGCCAGCCCAAGCAGAACTCTCATCTCTAATATCCAAATAGCCTTAAGCAAAAACTCTTGAGACAGCACTCAGGCCTTGAGTTTAAGCCCTGTGACACACACTCTCTCTATGTGTCTGTCTGTCTGTCTCTTTCTCTTTCTTTCTCTCTCTCTCTCTCACACACACACACACAGCTGGTTTCTGTGGCATGAGGGTGCATGCCTATAATTCCAGCATTCAGGAGACCAAGAGTTTGAGGCCAGCTTGGGCCATATAGCAAGACCATGTCTCTCAATAGTCAAAAGTTGGCCACCAGTGGCTTATGTCTGTAATCCTAGTTCCTCAGGAGGCTGAGATATGAGGATGATTATTCAAAGCCAGCAAGGGCAGCAAAATCTGTGACTCTTATCTCCAGTGAAGCACCAAAAAAGCCAGAAATAGAGCTGTGGCTCAAGTGGTAGAGTGTTGTCCTTGAACCCAAAATCTCAGGGACAGTGCCCAGGCCCTGGACTGACACAAAAAACCAAAAACAGAATATATTGGATTTGATGAGTGAAGTGTAGGGCATAGGGAAGAGGAGGGAGCCGTGGCTGTCTTTTTCTTTTCTGGGTTCTCATCTCCAGCTGTTGGTGTCCCCTCCCCCACAGCATAGCTCTAGGGGTTTGCTAGGTTTTCCTGCCACTTGTACCCGCTGAATGAAATGACGGGCCTTTCAGTTTGCAAATATAACACAAAGCCTTCCTGGCAGCCGGTGATCAGGAGTGTTTAGAATTACAAAAAATGGTAAGACTTACAAATCATTTC